AGTATGATAATTTCTACAAAATAAATTGCTCAGCAGTGTGGAGTTCGGTGATAATATAAATATCTAAATTATTAACATTCAAACCTATGGAGGTTTTGCATTAAAACTAATGGTAGGTGCATGGTCCATCTGTTTTCCTAGGGTGGAATTCATCCCTGTGCCGAGGGCTAGCACAATCCCTATTTTAGGAATTATGATGAACTTAATTTATTGGTGCTCAGGCTTAGCTCTAGCCTCTGATCCAGGGCAAATGTCATCCTTGGATTGTTTTATGAGAAGGGTGAATATGAGATAAGCATAACCCCCAAATCTGTATTGTGCAGATCTGCCTAGGCATCAAGGGAAGAGCGTATTTATACCTCTAAAAAGTAGTTTCTAAGTCAGGGGTGGGCAAACTTTTTGGGCCGAGGGCCACATCTGGGCGGGGAAATTGTTAGCAGGGCCGGGGCAGGGGGTTGGGGTGCGGGAGGGAGTGCGGGGTGTGGGAGAGGGTGCAATGTGCAGAAAGGGGCTCAGGGCAAAGGATTGGGTCAGAGGAAGGGTGTAGGGTGTATGAGGGGGCTCAGGGAAGGGGGTTGGGGTGCAGGAGGGGTGCAAGGCGCAGGCAGGGGGGCTTAGGGCAGGGAGTTGGGGGGCGGGTGCAGGCAGGGTTTGGGTTCCGGCCCGGTGCCGCTTCCTAAAGCGGCTCCAGGGTGGCAGCGGCGCGCACCGGGGCCAGGGCAGGCTCCCTGCATGCCTGCCCTGGCCCTATGCCACGCCGCTCCAGGAAGCACTGTGGTCCCTGGGGGAGGATGGGGGGGAGGGCTCCATGTGCGCTGCCCTTGCTGCACCTCCAGGTACCTCCCCCGAAGCTCCCACTGGCTGCAGTTCCCTGTTCCCAGCCAATGGGAGCTGTGGAGGGCAGTGCCTGGAGACAAGGGCAACATATGGAGCCCTCTGCCCTCCCCTCCCCCCGCCGAGGGGGCCGCAGGGAAGTGGTGCCGGCCGCATCTGAGAGCGGTGCGATGGGGGGCAATCCTGCGGGCCGGATTCGGCCCGCCGGTCATAGTTTGCCCACCCCTGTTCTAAGTAAATATGATCAATACACAACCACAGAGTGAGAGCACTGTTGTAGAAAGGTTTATAAAATTAATGAAAGAATTTGATTACATTGAAATCACTCTGACATTTTTAGGAAAACAGGTTTTTGGGAATCTCTGATCAATTTGCTGATTAAGATAGGATTTCAAAACAATGGACAAGATATTCTGTAAATATGGTATCATAGCTCTGGGTGCTTCGGGTGGCAGACCGTAGCTGCTGTTCCAAAGCCCTTCGAAAATTCTGGTTACGTTTCTCCCTTCCTTTACATTTATATTTTCAGGAGACCTGTCCTTGTCAGCCTGCTGCTGCCACTGGGCTAAGTCTAGAAAGCTTAAGCTGTTGATGACCGTGAAGCCATTTTTGTGGGCTCCTCAGAGAGGCATCTGCTAGCTCTGTAATGAATAACATAATAAGTAGGACTGCAAACGATCCCCACTAACATGCATAATGTCGAAGATGTATATATTAACAACCCGAACAATTGTTTTTTTCTACTGCCATTTGGTTTCATTTCAAATTAGAATATTTGTGAATGTGATTTTATATTAACTTTTTATTTCAAGTGAAGGTGGACCATCATGTTTATGTACCTAATTGAATACCTCTGATGGCCATCTGAAATTCCAGAAATGAGTGGCTCAAAGCCAGGCTTTCCTAGTAACACTCATAAGTGGAATAAGATGAAACCTCAGTGGTTAGTGTCAGATGCTTCAAAAGAAGGTTCAAGAAAGCTCATAATGGACAATAATGGCATATCTTGCTCTTAGGGGAAGTTTCTTCCTAATCCTAAACAGTTAGTGCTTGATTTACATCCTGAAGCTTGAGGGTTCAGGCTCTCATATATATTTATCCTATTTAATGAAACTGCAGCTGTTTTTCCTGCTTCGTTGTTTTGCACTGAAACCTCCAACGATGCATAGGATAACTTTAAAATTGCAGACTAGTTTCATGCCAAGGTACAATTAAAATTCTTTAATAACGGCCCACTTCTGTGAATGCAAAGAGTGGTATGAGCTGACACACTGTAGTGGATTCTTGCATTCAGGAAACAGAAAAATAACTAAATGTTGCTCACTGCCAAGAATCTTAGATCCTTTTTGAGCATACCCCGGAGATCTGTACTGTGCCTCCATAAATAGGTTTGTCTTATACTGATATTGGCTGAGCTAAGGAAGGTATTCAGGCAATAACTAGGTTATTGAAAAGGAAAGTCATCAAAACCTTGTGATGTAGGTTGTTACTGGTTTATTGTAGATCTGGTGATGCAATTAACAGAAAGGGCTAAAAACATTCAGAGATTTCCAAAGAGATGGTAGTAAGTTGTATTGAATCATTTAAAAACAAAGATTAGCTCCATGTTGGCCGAGCTACTAGTACATCAAAACCACCATTACTAAGGATCTTCAGCTTCTTTAGTTCTTTGGGAGAGATGTGATGTGTGAGTTAAACAAGTATTAACCTGCACAGCCAGCCATTGCATGAACTGGAATAGAGTTTGTGTTTTATTTTATTTCTTGGTTTTACCTGTTTCGACTCTTTCTTTCTAGAATAAATGGTGTCTGGTTTAAATGCAATTATAATGATCAATATTGAGCGAACAAGTGTGAAAAGGCTCTACCCTCAGGGAAAGAAAAAGAACAAGTGGCTAGAGTTTACCAGCCCACAGCCATGGGGGTTTGGGACAGACTGGAATTCTTGCTCAAAATACTGCCACATGTGGTGGAAAATGGCCCAAGGGCAGTCTCTGACTGCACAGATATGACGGTCTGTTACTAAAGAGACTAATGGGGTGTGTTCAGTAGCATAAAACTACAGCCAGAAATTAGCCCCGTCTTTCCCTCCCAAATCTGACACAAATAAAAGTAGTGTAAATTTGCACTAGGTTATTGGCCAACTTAGGAGTGCCCACACTGTCCTTGAACAGCTACTCACATAGACTGGTTGTGCCAGAAATATATTGCATCATGCACAACTGCTTTTGACAGGATACTCAACCAGAGCAAAAGGATGCCATGGATGGAGAAGCGGGACACAGAGTTAAATGTGTGGACAATACCTTTTGACCTCTAGACCTTGCCTGGAAAAGCTCCTCCCTAACTCAGTATGGGGAGGGACAAGAGAAGTATTGTCTCTGGAGGTTTCAAGCATCAGGATGCAACAGTGACACTGAAATTCACCATCTGGCTACTGTTTTTCAGGCCCACACATAGCCTGAAGCTAGATTTGGTCCCAGCTGAGTATAGCATGCACTGCAGCACCCTTACAACAGCTTCTTTGCAAACAGTTCACTGAATCCACAACTCCCATAAAAACATATTGTATGGACAAATTTGGGGCTTAGACGCACAAAAAGCCTCTCCTATGTAAGTTGGTCGGCGCGTCCTTCATTTATTAGATAACAGAACTGGTCCCAGACAGCCTTAAAAATGAACACTTAAAATCTGTAGCATCTCGATGCTACACCATAGGTCATATTTGATACCAAACAAGAAAAAGCAAATTTTAAAGAAGCACTGTATGCACATATGCATTTTGGGAACTTAAACAATTACTGTCTACAATGGAGCTACCAAAGTCTATCAAGAAATATAATGCTTATTAAAAATTATTCAGCATACTTATTTACATGCTAAAGAATAAGAACTCTGAACTAATAATTACTGTGTGCATGACTCGGTAAACAGATATGGTTTTTATATGCTCTGTGAGAGCCCAGTCCTGAAAAGCATTATGCACATTAGAAATCCATATGCACTCCCATTTACTTCAGTAGGATCGCTTGTGCAAGTAAGCACTAGTCATGACAGTAACTGTTTGCAGGATCAGGCCCTCAACCTGATATGTATTTACAATTTTTGTTTTTAAAATTAGGGGAATTTTTTAAGTGTTATTTTTCTATTTTGATATAAGCATAATGTAACATGGCAGGACCCTGGCCACTATGAGAGCTTTACTCTAAATTATAGTACAAGTGCAATAGCTAAAAAAACCCCACAAAAATACATAGAGTCACGTTCTGCTCTCACTTGCACTTGTGTAAATCTGGAGTAGCTACATTGATTTACTCCAGTGTAAATGAATAGAATTTACCCCTACAGTCCAGACAGGATTTGTTTCCACTGCAGAGACCATAATCAAAAGCCTCTAGAACAAATTCAAGTCCTTCTGTAATCATGAAAACCTTCAGTGTGAAACCTTGGAGAAACATTGCGGGAGTTTGAATTTACAAATCTCAGAATAAGGAATTTAGGGAAATATTAACCTTAATATTCTGTGAAACATTTTTGTGATATTTACATGAAAGAGCATACACATCCAACGAATGATTTACAATCTGAATTAAAGTGAAGATGATCAAAACAACACAGGGTGTGCTACTTACACTCTATACAGCTGAAGCAAAGGCTGCATATTCTGTGCTTTTCTGAGTCCCAAAGGGTCTCACCTGTTGTTTCAAACGCAGTATGGAAAAAAAGGCAGGCTTATGCCTGCTCCAAGAATACTTCAGCTTGTCACAGAAAAAATTGTTAAATTACTTTCTTTTTTCCCCTTTGGCTATAACCTTGATTAACTCACATGAGCCATACACATTTTCAAAGAGTTTCACAGACTTAGCCACATATAAGCTCAAATAAACCCTTCCTGAAACACCTCAGAGTACTTTACATGACTTCAAACAACATACCAAAAAAAAAAAAAAAAATACAGTTCAAAGACAAGGCTAAATAAACGAATTTGGTAATAAAGATGAGAGAGAAGAACATCCCAGGAAATAGTATGAGAAAACTCTCCTAGGGACAGAATACTAAATACAGAGAACCAACCCTCTCCAAATGGAAACAAGAGTTACAACCTGGACACTGGGATCCGAGGAAAACTTACCATTATGTTCAAGCCTGTTCATGCCTTTTACATACCTAATTCAGCCTTAAATCATTCATTTAGTCCAGAGAAAGCGAGTGGAGATGCTTGATATGGGAGAAATTTGATCAGAAATGTTGGTTCTCTTCAGGAAGCATCTAAGAATAGCGACCAGCAGAATGGGAAAAAGAACTTCGTTATATGTGGTGGGAAGTGGCAAAGACAAGGCATGTGTTAAAAATCTCAGCATCCTAGTGAAACAATGTAGGTCGCAGAGTGAAGAGGTTCCTATGGTGATACTGTAGTAACATAACTTGACAGCCAATTGTAAATTAAAAAATAAGTGCAGTGTTTGCAAGCACCGAGGCCCTGACCCTGCACCATTACAGGATCAAGCCCTGAGGGTAGGAAAGGTAAGTTAGGATAGTAAGATAACAACCAAGGAAAAATGAAACCCTCATTGAAGGGACTCACTGAGCAAAATTCAGCTTGTTTTGTGTTCAACTTGAAGAAGTTAGGAGGCATGGCCGAACATGAATACAAGAAGAACCATGCAGCACAAAGTAACTGTCACTGGGACAGCACAGATAATACTGAGTTCACAGGTTTACACCTAAGATCCTCATCCTGAAAACACTGATGTTCCCATCGACTGCATGGGGACTACCTATGTGAGTAAAGGTCACAGGATCAGGCCTTAAATATGTAAAGTTTGATATTGATGGACATGAGCATAAATGCTATCACCCAAAGTAAGCATACATGTTCACTGTATAAATAAATTGGCCTTTTGAGTCTCCCCTGAAAAATCTGAATTTGATCACATCACATTGATGAGGACAATATGCACTGTGAGTGCTGGGGTAAGATCAGAACTAAGTCAATGCTCTATCAGATAAATCAATATAAAAGCTTTGCTGCGTAACAAAATCACCAGCTTTTGGGTCAAGCAGGAAATAGGTCCAGCAACAGTAACAAAGAAATGTAATTCCTACATGCAGAAAAATAGCAGGCTTTTCACATCCTAATGAGAGGTTAATTAGTGTCACATTTTCACTAATTGGGGGGGGGGGGAAGAGAGAAAAAGAAAAGCATGAAATAAAGAAGGAAAGATCATATGAATCCTGATAGTGCATTATAACCTCCATTAACTAGCAGCACTGGATGCATTTTAGAGTGAACTCCACAAAGAAGCATTTCAAATGTCAAAATTAGAAACTAAAAGGTCTTCTAAGTAACCTCTGAGGATGTGCGTTCCACTTCCTGGGAAATAGCTGCTTTTTGTCTCCCAACCCAATAACATTGTCAAAGGCAATTTGTGTGAGAGGGGGGAAAAAAATCATTCTTAGCCTCTAAGTAAAAACTTCAGTCTAGCAGGTCAATATAAAGCAGAAACTAAACCCACAGAACAGAAGCTAAACCCACAGAATAATATTCTTAAAGCTCTAAAACTAAAAAGACTTAGTTGTCATCTTCAGAGGGATTTTTTTTATTTGTTGAATATTATGAATTGCTTGCTCTCTCTGGAGGGCATTGCCCGCTTGGCTTTCACAGTAATATGATATGTTGCAGTGACTTTTAGAAGGAAATCAAAATTAGTTTCTCCTCCCCATCATCATAATCCATTCAGAAAAGAATACCTCAACCTCTTGTACTTCATTAGCCTTAGAAGCGCCAGCAAATCTGATATTCCTTAAGCTCATGCATTTGACTTTTTATAGCTTTCCAATGTTATGTTGCAATGTCCCTAGCAGTTATTTCCACCTCACTTCCAAAATGAAATGGCTCTCTTCAGAGAGAGAAAAAAACATACAAGAGTACATTTATGTGAAACAAATCAATGAAAGCAGGAAAAATTCAATCTTGACCCCACTGGCTGAGATCTCTTTAGGCCACTCTTGTCAATGACATGACCTCAACTTATTAAAGAGCATCCTGTACTTCTCTCCTTATGAATCTGACCAAGCGGTATACGTTTTTAGTGTATACTTCAGCATCTTCCCATTATCACCGTATATGTTAAATACAATGTTTCTAATTTTATTAATGACTCAGCAAAACAAACCCTATAGGCCCAGAAATTAGTCAGACTTGAAAATGTTTTTGGCAGAGATCTTCAGAGGTACAAAGATTGTTGCAAAAAATATCATTAGAATTTTGCAGAATCCTTGGAGGCCTGATTATCATAACACTTTGATATTACTATTCCCTCTCCCCACTCGCACCCTCCTGGTCCTTATCTAAACATTTTAAATTTCCAGAGGTCATGTAATTCAGATATCTAGGTAAATATAGGTAAGATGCTGATGGACTTGAGAGACTTACTCCACAGCCAGCACAAACAAAGGCTCCTTTACAATACACCTGAGAAACTTGCTTTCAAGTCATCCAAATAATGTGCCTGACTAGAGATGTTTGAAGAGTCATAAAATGGTAAAAGTTACACAGATTCAGCATGGCAGTTCTCAGAAAACAAACACATTCATGTGTTCCACTCAGTGGCTCCTGGGGCACCGTGCTCAAATCCTGGTTGTGCTGACTACAGCCAACACTGTATTTCTTTCGGGTAAACTCCTCATGCCAAAGTTTACTTCTGGGGAGGAAGGTAAGCAGCTATATTTGAGACTGGCTTTGGAGACCACTTCAAATGCAGAGGTCCACAGTTGTACACATGCAACTCCCATTCAAATCAATGGGAGCAGGATATGCACAGAGGACTTAATATTTATGTTTACCAATGTTTATGTTTACCAATTATTCCCTTCCTAATTGATATTAGTGTATTTATTCTGCTAATGATACTATTAATATAAGGGATGATGCAAATTATCCTACTTAAAATGTCCAAAAAGATAAGAGGAATGTAAAGCATTAATTTTTAGAAAGTACTTTTTGTGGGTTCCATTTCATTGTGATCAGTTTCATATTTCTTAATAGAGTGCAAAGCCCTGAAATAGGAGGTTTTCAATGTGGTAAATAAACTTTAGTGTTTGTAGAGTTTCATTCTTTGAAAGAACACTATCTTCTACTTTTTCATCACTTTATTTTGGTTTACTCTCTGTTGGTTTTAATACTGTCTTAGAAGCCTGAGAATAACATTTTCCTTCTGTACTGTTCATGTCCTTTGCCATTTGGCCAATCATTGATTGATTTCCTGCCTTTCTTATGGATTTTAAAATTCACATGACTTGTTTATATCCCTCTTGGTGCAGAAGCTTTATCAGTGCTGTTAGTTAACTGTTGAAGAACCAACAGAGGTGGGCGGGGAGAGCCATCAGAGAGAGAGAGAGAGAGAGAGAGAGAGAGAGAGTGTGTGTGTGTGTGTGTGTGTGTGTGTGTGTGTGTGTGTGTGAGAGAGAGAGAGAGAGAGAGAGAGAGTCTAATATAAACAGTGGGGGTTAGTGTGTGTGTGTTTTTAATTCCCAGCAGTGGTATGATGATTTCCGTAGACTTATTGTATTTTGTTTTTTTAAAACACAATAGCTATTTGGACTCCTGCAGCTATTTTCAATCTACAACAAAATCAAAGAGGATCAAATTTTAGGCCTTAACTACTTGGCCATGTCCCTTTAATTATTCTTCATTATGAAAATTAGCATACCACAAAATGTTGTAGATAGTTCTGACTAGCTTTAGTTTTAAAGCTTTAGATTTTATCATAAATATATTTTATGAAATGTGAAGATTTGTTGGAACAGTAAGAGATTTCAACCCATGTTGAAAAATTGGGATGATAAATTTTATTCTACAAATTCCCCGCATTTTTTTTTCAGAGTATGACTGCTGAAATATAGCTTTAGAATAATTAACAGGAGGAGTAACGCTATAGGAATTGTATTTGTGGTGTGATATATGCACTTAAAGTTACTAGAAGCACCAAAAATGTGTTAATGTAGAGCACTCAACCTGTGGTACATTATTCTTTAAGAATGCCACTTACACAGGAAAACATATCATCTGACTAGTCCAAACCATTTGCCTTAAATCAATTATCATTATGTCAAAATTTTAATTCCTCCAAAATGTTCTCTATCTCTGGTCTGGATTCTTTCACCTTTACCACACTGTGTAGTATCTTACTCCATCAGGAGACCCACTGAAATTAATGGGATTCTTCACTGAGTAAGAAACTGCATAATGTGACTATGGGCTTGGCTACACTTGCAAGTTAGTGCGCATTAAAGCAGCCCCAGGCGCCCTAACTCCCGACCCATCTACACTGGCAAGGCACTTAGAGCCCCTGGACTCTGCAGCTGGAACGCGCCTGTTAATCCACTTCCACGAGAAGCACAACACTTGTTGCGCCTCGGCTGAAACGCCCCAGCGTCAGTGTGAACGAGGTGTTGCATTACTGCGCTTTGATCGGCCTCTGGAAACGTCCCATAATCCCCTTAATTCAAGTGGCCACTCTTGTCATTGTTTTGGAATCGACTGTAGGAATGCAGATATCCCCTTTCAAAGCTCAGTTTCTGACAGCCAGCTGCTTATCTGCTCCAGGACAAAGCAAGCCATTAGTGTGGAATGTTGCTTGCTGTGAGTGTGTGAGAGAGAGGTGGGGGGCAGGGGGGTCTGAACTTACAAGACGGCATGCTGACACTCTCAGCACCCCAAAACCCACTCAGCACCCCCACACACATACACACAACACACTCTCTGTCACACTCCACCCCACCTCCCGCATTTGAAAAGCACGTTGCAGCCACTTGCATGCTGGGATAGCTATCACAATGCACTGCTCTTTGTGGCATTGCAAAGCTGCTAATGTGGCCACGCCAGTGCGCTTCCAGCTGAGAGTGTAAACACTCGGCAGCGTTTTCCCTGCTGTGGTCTCCAAAGGTTGGTTTAACTCTCAGCACTCTACATCTGCAAGTGTAGCCATGCCCTTAGACTATGTCTACACTTGGAGCTAGGGGTGTTATGCTCTGCTCACGTGGATATTTTCACGTTAGCTCTCATCGAGCTAGCATGATAAAAATAGTAGTGTAGCCACAATAGTATCAGCAATGAATGGTGGCACAGCCTAGCCACGCTCAGTACAAACCAGCCTGGACTTCGTGGGTATGTACTCAGGGCGGCTAGCCCATGCCACCGCTCACCACTGCCCATATTATTGCAGCAACGCTACTATTTTTACCATGCTAGCTCAATGAGAGCTTAC